CTGCCTGGGGCTGGCAGCGGCAGGGCAGGGGCATGGAGGTGACGCTGGGCTCCTTCTGCTTCCCCCCGCAGAGAGACCCCACCACGCACACGAGAAGGTGCGGGACGAGGACCTGTCGCAGTGGGATGCGCTGGTGGTGATGTCCGGGGACGGGCTCCTGTACGAGGTGAGGGGCACCACGGGGCACCCCCGGCCCCGGGCTGGGCACAGCAGGTGCCTGGGGCCGGAGCTGAGCTTTGAGACAGGAAGGGAACAGCAAAAGGGAGCTGGCACCGTGCTTGGAGAGGGGCTTGCCCCAAGCTCACCGTGACAGGTCCATGGAGGGACCCAGCGTGGCCTCGGGCCTGCCAGGTCCCTGCCTCCAGCTGCCTCCATCCTGTAGGTGGTGAACGGGCTCATGGAGCGGCCGGACTGGGATGAGGCCATGAAGAAGCCGCTGTGCATCCTGCCCGGGGGCTCCGGGAATGCCTTGGCTGCCTCCATCAACTACTACGCAGGGTGAGCCCCATGGGGAGCAGGATGGGGGGGAAAGGCTCCATCCCAGCTGATCCCAGTACAGGGGGATCCTGTGGGTCCCCGCGTCCCTGCAGGCTGGTCCCTGTGAGCATCAGGCTGCATCCCCACATCCCCCCACATCCTTCCTCCTCTCCAGGCTCTGAGTCTGGCAAAGCTTTTCCCTAAAGGATCCACCCCGGGCAGAGCTGGTCCCGCTGCAGGACCGGGATTGCCCTGACCCAGCATTCCCACCTTGGGTCTGTCTTTTGGAGCTGGTTTATACTTCCCACCCCAAGCAAAACCTCTCCCAGCAGCTGTCCCTGAGGGACACCATCACCCAGCCGGGATATGTTCTGGCACACGGATCCAGCACCGGTGCTGGGTCCAGCCCAAACTCACCTTTCTCCATCCCTCGCAGCAACGATCACGTCGCCAAGAAGAAGCTGCTGACGAACTGCACCTTCATCCTGTGCAAGGGGCTGCACACGCAGATGGACCTGGTGTCGCTGAGCACAGCCTCGGGCAAGCGCCTCTTCTCCTTCCTGGGCTTCGGCTGGGGCTTCATCTCGGACGTGGACATCGACAGCGAGAAGTACCGCTGGCTGGGCAACGCGCGCTTCACGCTGGGCACGCTGCAGTGCCTGGCCAAGCTGCGGGTGTACCAGGGCCGCCTCTCCTACCTGCCCCTCGGCCCCCCAGCGCAGGGCACCCCCCGGGACCCCCCCGAGCCCGTCACCAACGGCCACATCCCGCTGCTGGCGGGGACCGGAGCACCGAGGGCGCTGCCCCCCGACTCGCTGCTGGTGCCGCTGGGGCAGCCGGTGCCGGCGCACTGGACCGTGGTCCCCGAGGAGGAGTTTGTCACCGTCTACGCCATTTACCAGTCCCACCTGGGCACCAACCTGCTGATGGCGCCGGCGGCGCGGCTGCACGACGGCTGCATCCACCTCTTCTACCTGAAGGCCGGCATCAGCCGCGCGGCGCTGCTCAGGATCTTCCTGGCCATGGCCAGAGGGACCCACCTGGACCTGAACTGTCCCCACCTGTGCTACGTCCCGGTCCGGGCCTTCCGCCTGGAGCCGCGCACGGCCGCGGGCATCATGACGGTGGATGGGGAGGCGCTGGCCTCTGAGCCCGTGCAGGGGCAGCTCCACGGCCGCCTCTGCCGCGTTGTGTGCGGCTCCTGAGCTGCTGCCTTCACCCACCCCAGCGCTGAGCTGCTGGCACGGCCCAGCCGGGGCGGGCAGAGCCTTCCTCCCACTCAGGAACATCCTCTCCGCCCATAGCAATAGCTCTCGGGGGCCATTGGGTGCTCGTCCCCACGCTTAGCTTTAACCCCTCGGGACAGCCGCCAGCGCTGTCCCACACCTGAGCCGTGAGCCCCATCAGGTACTCGGTGCCCATCAGGTCCTCGGTGTCCTACCCCGGTACGAGGTCCCGGCTGTGCCGGCACAGCCCCGTCCTCTCCCTGGCTCGTGTCCCCAGCGCCACCCGCAGGGAGGGTCAGGACCAAGCTCTCTTGATACCAGAACTTGACTTTTTGTAAGGATGTTTGTACCCAAAGCTCCCTGCAGAAGCAGAGTTTATTCTTGTGAGAGATGCAATAAAGAGCCGGTGTTTGCAGAACCCCCAGGGCTCGAAGCCGTGGTCAGAGCTGCTCTCAGTGCCCTCTGCTCCCCTGTCACACCACTGCCACCTCCAGCCAGAGCCAGCACGGAGCCAAGGCCCAGGAGATGCTCCCAGGGGAGGTGTCTCAGAGGCAGGACGTGGGGTGCTGCTCCCCCCCCGCCTCCCAGTTTTGGGGTGCGCTGGTGCCTCCCTGCTCAACCTCATGCTGGAGCTGATTGAAAGCTGGGAACTCAATCCCACAGGGACCACAGACTGGTTTGGGTTGAAGGGACCTTAAAGCTCCTCCAGCTCCAACCCCTGCCACAGGCAGGGACCCCTTCCACTGGAGCAGCTTGCTCCAAGCCCCTGTGTCCAACCTGGCCTTGAACACTGCCAGGGATGGGGCAGCCACAGCTTCTCTGGGCACCCTGTGCCAGCGCCTCAGCACCCTCACAGGGAAGAGCTTCTGCCTTAGATCTAACCTGAACTTCCCCTGTTTCAGTCTGAACCCATCACCCCTTGTCCTATTGCTACAGTCCCTAATGAAGAGGGCCTTGCCAGCATCGTTGTAGCCCCCTTCAGACACTGGAAGCTGCTCTGAGGTCTCCACGCAGCTTCTCTTCTCCAGGCTGAGCAGCCCCAATGTTCTCAGCCTGTCTCCATACAGGAGCTGCTCCAGTCCCTGATCATCCTCATGGCCTCTCTGGACTTGCTTCCACAGCTCCATGTCCTCCATGCTGAGGACACCAGCACTGCACACAGTGCTGCAGGTGGGTCAGCCCCAGCTGCCGGATCCACCTGGCTCCTTGCGGGCACCATGCCATCAACTTCACCCCAGTGGGATCCCAGCACAGGGTGGGGAGGGCAAGAAAGAGACGGCGCTGAGAAGCACTGAGAGAGGCAGATTCAATGGCAAGTCATCTTCCCTCCTTTATTACACCCGGGTTAGCCAAACAAAACAAGTTCTGCAGGTAAAAAAAGTCCGAATGGGCACACAGCACTTTATACAGATACCGTAAGCAACCAAGCACCCACATCTGCACGGGGACGACACCTCTAAGCATGGCCTCAAGGGCAGGGCTGGGGCTGTTGTCTTCATTAAATACTGTACAGAACCAAGGCTACAAAGGGGGTTGCGATCGCTCCTTCCCCCTGCCCCGCGCTGCAGTTCCAGCCCGCTCTCATTGTACATGATCCCAGAGCCCGGAGCCGGGTTAAGGCTGACAATAAGCATCATGCTTTGGCTTTTTTTGGGGTTTTTTTTTTCCACTTTTGTTTTTCCCCCCCAGGTTTTAGCTTTTTAAAGTGTTCTCCTTAAATATTACATATACACAAAATACACAGCGGTGCCCAGCCCCTGCCCCAGCTTCACATTATCAAAAGCTTTAGAAAACGTGTAAACCTCTGGGCACGCCTCGTGTGGGGCAGTGCTGGGGGGCACCGGCCCCTGCCCCACGGCCAATGCACCCCACGGCCAATGCACCCCACAGGGAGCCTGTGCAAAGCTCTTGGTTCAGATCAGAGGAAACAAAGTTGGGCGAAGGGGACGGCCTTCGCTGGGAGATGAGAGCAAAGGGTGGGCAAAGCAGGGAGCCCTGGAGCTGCTCCCTCCCCATCCCAAAAGGGTTTTCTCCCTCTCTGGCCGCTGGGGCTGTAAGGGCAGCCACAGGGGACAGAGGAAGTCGGTGTCAGTGGAGGACCAACAGCAACTTGGTCTCTTAAAGAGGTTTCATCCCTGGGTACAAGCAGCCTCCCAGCCCTCTGCACCAAGTGACCCCCTCCATGGTGGAGATGCCCTTGCTCTTCACTCAAGGGATTCATGCAGTTAGCACCAGAACGTGGCCAGGAGTTAACACCTGGCTCGCACTGCCCGTGCCCCAAAGCACCCCTGCACCCCAGTGAGGGTCTGCCCGCAGCCAACCCTGCTCCCTGCGAGACCCAGCAGAGGATGGGGACACCACAAGGGCTTTGTGCTGCCCGGAGCATGGGGGCAGCAGGAAGGGGCAGGCACAGGGGCACGGGAGGGGGTTTGGGGCAGCGGGTGCAGGCCCTGGTGGTTCAAGGAGCAGGAAGCACCGTGCAAATGCACTGAGAGGCACCTGCACCTCCCTGCTTCAAACTGGGAAGAGGCCAGAGCCTGGCCTGGGTGAGGGGAAGGGACCAGAGCCACAGCGAGCAAGAGCAAAGGAGGGTTTTGGCTCCATCCTCACTCGTGGCAGAGCCATCTGCTCAGCCCGACTCCTCCGGGGAGCCTGGCGCTGCTGGAGGACCGGGGGCTCCCCCTGACCGGCTGTGCTCCACAGGGATGCCAGGAGGGAGCTCCCCAGTGCCTGCACGCTGGGCAATGCGGTGGCGCTGGGGAGCAATGTCCCAGCTCCACCAGTGAAGGGAAGGGAAGGGTGCACAGGAAAAGAGGCTTCAGGAAGGTGCCTTGAGCAGGGCCCTCCGGCACAGTCACCGCTTCAAAGTGCTCAGGGTCAGCAGCTCTCACTGCTGGAGCAGGGGCTGATCCCACCAGCCCTGTCCCAAGAGGGGCCGTGGAGATCAGGGACAGGATGTGCTGTGCCCACAGCGGACCCAGGCCACCCTGGCAAGGAAGGAACTGAGAACAGTGCCCCAGCTGCTGAGTAACAGCACAGAACAGGCACAAAGTGCTGCTGCTCTGACAGGACCTCATCACCACACCATAGCTCCTGTCCCGTGGGGGCCCTGGCTCCAACAGCTCCAAAATACCCATCTACAGCTGATGGAGGAGGAGCAGCCACACCACGTTCACCACCAAGAGGAGCTTCGGGATCTACAGCGTGCCCCAGGACCACTCGAGGCTGAGATCCAGGGGTAGCTTAGTGCTGTGTGACAGCCTGGATTGGCTGGGAATGAAGGATGCTGCTACTGAAGCAAGTAACAGGGGCAGAACCCCGAATCCCATGTATTTCTAGAAGACAGGCAGTATGCGTGCTGGGGGAAAGGGAAGTTTGCCTTACCCTGGCCAAAAAGAAGCGGGGATGGTGAGAACTGCTTCCAGGAAGCTGACAAGGAGTTGCAGAACTGGATGGAAACCCTGCAGCACTACCAGGGCAGCACAAGTGCCACTTCAGAGCTCTGGTTCTGCCTACCAAGTCCTGACTGCAACAACCTCGTAGCTATCTGTGAACTAAGACCAGAGCAACTCTGTATGGTGCAGACAACCTCAATGCAAACACAATCCCATGTCTAAGAACAGGAAAGCTGGGGCAGGTTTCATAAAACCCATGGTAATGCAGAGAAAAATGAGAGACCGGGAGGGCATTGCCCTTACCTTCCAGCTCCTACAGCAATCACTTCTCCTGGCTTGAAGCCCACCAGACCAAACTGATGGGTGGGAAGAGTCCTTGTGTGGAAAGGTGCCCCAAGATGAAAGTGCAGAAGGGAATGTGGCTGCAAGACTGCTTCTGTGCAGGTCTCAAATCTTACCATTGCAGGGTCAAACTTGCAAAAGGAACACGTACATGGGAGGGGGGAAAGAAGAAGGGCTGGGGCAAAGAGTTATTCATGCTTAGACATCCTTTCCTGGGAGGAGCAGTCAGGCCTACCACCTTCTTTGGAACAAACCAAGCTGAGGAAGAAAAGCTGGAAGGAGAAGCAAGTCTACTGGTGACAGCATCTGCTTATTTCCTTTCTGCTGCTTTCCCTTCTCCCCTGCACCTGCCTGTCCCTAACCTGATGGTTTATTTGTCCTCTGTCCACTCTGGGATATTGGCCCCTGCTAAGGCAGCCCGGTACTGCTGCAAGACACCACGGATGCTTTTAATGAACCCCTTGGACAAGGGGAAGAGGGGGAACCCAATGTCAGGGTAACCGCTCTTTTCCGGAAGGAAACTCCTGTAGCTCTTCCTCCTTTTCTTTGGTTTCACGCTGGGCTGCGCGGCAGAGTCCTGGGCAGCCTTCCCCTCGTCCGTTCGGTCTCTGGCCAGGTCTGCCCCCCTGGCGTGGGCTGTGCTCTCCGAGTCCGAGTACTGCTGGCCATCAGCAGCGTTGGGCATTGAGGCTGTGAACTCCGACTCATCCAGCGCCGAGTCGGAAAGCTCAGCGCCCGCTCCCTGCTCCGAGCTGCTCCCGTATCCCCCCTGCGATCCCGCATTGTCCCCCGGGCTCTCGGCCAGGGCGCTGCTTGCCGAGCAAAGGGAGGCAGAATCCGCCCCGTTGGCCTGCTCGTGGCTCCGCTCCACCAGCTCGTTGGTCTCCAGCCAGGACTCGATGCGGGACACCAGGCGCCAGCCCTGGCAGCGGAAGTGCTCCCGGATCTCGTGCTCGAAGACCTCCACGGGCCTGCGGAGCAGCTGCATCATGGACTGCACCACCCGGATCAGCGTCATCTCGTTGTAGCAGCGGCTGTTCTCATAGCCCTCCTGCAGGCCCCGGTCACTGTCGAAGCCTGCCTCGTTGTAGTAGGGCTCGTTCACCAGGATGAGGCCTGCCAAGAGAAGGGGGCACCAAGGGGTTAAGGGGGGGAGTTCACTGAATCCCAAGCCGAGGAGGTTGGGGTTCAAGGGGCACGGCACCGCCCTGCTGAGGCATCACCCACAGGCTCAGTGATGCAGGCAGCCCCAGGCCAGAATCCCTGCTTTGACTTCAAGCAGGTAGCAGAGGCCAGGATGGAAAACCAGGAACCTGGAAGGTGCAGTAGGCAGGGATCACAAGGGGAGCACTCACATGGATGGGTTGTGGCCTTCTGCTAGGGCAGTAGGAATCTTGGATACTACCAAGAGTGGCCCTGGCTTGCAAGAACAGTCTTCTACCAGTGTGGTGCAGAGGCACACAAAGCACAGGAGGTCAAAAGGGCAGAAGGGGAAAAGTTTCACATCTCCTTTCCCTCCCCGCCCAGCAAAAAACCCCATAAACACACCCAAAGCTTTCTGTTTTCCTCCTCTTAATCAGAACAAAGGCCAAACTTCAGTAAGAGGCTTTGAGCTGGCCACGTCCTGTCCTGCGCAGCACGGTCCCATCAGACAGCACAGTTTGAGACATGAACTAGTGGGACAGGTCACCCGTCCCAGGCTTTCTCCTGCTTGCTGCTGGTCTAATGCAATCACATGTGTGTAGGAATGGCACCAACACTGCCAGGCTGCTGGCAGCCTGCCACTAACTGCATTAGAGCTGCTGGAGGTGAGACCACGAGCGTCTCCCAGCCCAGGCAGGAGCAGGGGCAGAGCAGGTTCCTTCACTAATACCACATTGCTCCAGTAAAACATTGAGTCTTTCATTGCTTAAACCTGGATCCTCAGCTTTGGAAATGAGCAAAGGCTTTTCTTGTGTGCTGTTCTCCCTCAGGTCTGTGAGACTTCAGAGGAGCAGGAGTTGCCTTGCTCTGTCTCAAAGGTTTCTGCAGTCACAAGCCTGGGCTCCCCATACAGAAAGGTGGCCTTGAGGAAGAGATTTGATTTAGTCTGTCTGCTCCCATACCAGACACAGCAAAGCCCTATGGCAGGAAACTCTGGGGCTGGTCTAGACACACCCTTCATTATTCTCTACATAGAAGGAGCATAAACACCAGCATCATGTGCAAAAACATGTACAATGTAGGACGGGCAGGTGACTCAGTGGGATAAAAACAGACCTGCAAATGAAGCCCAGTTTAGCAACCTCAACTAACTTTGGTAACCGGCTGAGGACACGGTGCTTCACCTCTGTCAGCTCGCAGCCAGCAGCAGAACAGCTCTGTGCTTTAGCTGATGCAGTGAGAAGAAGGGAAAGCATTGTCAGAGAGCTGGGATGCAGCCAAAACTCAGGGCACGAGGAAAGCCTGAACCTGCTCCGACTGCTGAAGTGCAGAGATAAGGACACTGCTTTGTCCAGCAATGTGAGAGCAAAAGGCAGGGCTAACCCAGCGGGGTGGCAGATCCCAACTGGGTGCCCCCCCTGCCGTAAGCCTGGGATCCTCCCTCCCCCTTTCCCTGTCCTGCAGGCGCTGCAGGAGCATTAACCTTACCTTGGATGGAGATGAGCACTTGAAGGAGGCTGGATTTACTGGTCCATCTTTCTGTCCCCTGAAACATACATACAAATGTGTTAGAGGGCTCAAGCACCAGCAGCTTGCTCTGGGGTAATGTCACAGGAAGCAAGGCCTCAGTTTCTCTGCATTCACAGCAGGAAGGTGCTGGTGTCCCATTGTACCAACCCATCTCTCCACTGCTTTGTGCCAGCACTACACCCCATTAGGCCAGTTCTACATGGAACAGTGTGACCCTACACACCAGACACCAGTTCCAGCCCTTCCCCATGCCCTGCTGATCTGCCTGTTCACAACACAGCATCTCCCTGGCTCTCTTTATTCCAAGTCTCCAGATGGACTTTGTGCCACGCTACACGATTCATTCATAGTGTGGGAGACAGGGACCCAAACCACGGGAGAACACCCCATGCTGGTGTTGGCATCTCTGCTCTGTCCAAGTGTGACACAGCCTGGCTGGTCTGACCACAGGCTTCTCATCGAGGATGGACAGGAGCCAAATACAGTCCCCGTAGAAGCTAACCTACACCAGTTACCTGCTCCAGACACCTAAAACAGAGCCCAAAGCACCCTGAGCTCAAGCACTGCCTGAGCCCAGGACTCTGGGCCTGGTAAGACATGGCTTGTTCCTGCCACAACCACTGCTCCTCACAGACGGGTGGATGGAAGCGTTACCTTGCCTATCCACGTCCCCAGGAGGCTGACACACACTTTGCCATTGTCGTACAGGTTGGGATTCAGCCTCCCACTGCACTGGGAGAGGTAGCGGAAGAGAGGGGGGACAGCAGGGTAGATGTTGGGGAGCTGGATATCGAAGAGGAAAAGCCCATCTTCATAGGGCGTGCGTGTGGGCCCTTTTATAAGTGCTGAGAAGAGATCCTGTGGAGAGAGGCAACAGAAGCCAGTGAAGCATCCTCTTACCTTGGCAAGGCTGTGTGTACACAGAAGGAGAGAGGAGATGTGATTAACTTGGCTCAAACAACACATCTCAAGGCACTTCTCCCCATAGAAGTGGGCTTGTTCTACAGCCTGAGACCACAGTGTGCAAGGAGATCTGAAGCAGGGCTTTGGGAACAGCCAGCAAGCCCCAGGCTACTCACTGGTTACACCAGCCCCTTGTTGCTGCCCACCCGCCTTTCCTGCTCAGCAGGACAGGCGGCCCAGGGGCAAAGCACCTGAAATAAGCTTCCTACAATGAAGAGCTCCAGGTTGTTTCCCACCCTGACTTGAGGAATGCACAAGCAGCCCTTTACGGTAATTACAGCTGTATTACACAAGCTGAACACATTCCTGCAGCTCTAATGCAAAGGATTAAGGCTAAGCAGGGAATTCCAGAAAGAATTCCAGAAAGAAAGTGATGTAGATGCTGAGCCCAGCACTAACACACAGGCACTTGAGAGCAGGCACTTGCCATTCGATCCTCAAAGGTCTTCACCATGATGCCATCAGGCAGGGAGGTGGCCAGCAGAGCCATCTCCTTGCGCACGGTGCTAAAGAACTTCTTTGCTTCTGGGGGCTGGAACTCCATTTTCTTGAAGGCATGGGTATCTGTGGGGCAAGGAAGAGAACGGGATTAGAGCCTGCCTTTGGGAACTGCCACAGCTTCCCTGTGAAGGCAAGTCTATAAATGCATCATTTGGCTGAAAAGAGTCAAACTTGCCTTGGTGCTGAGCCAGGAGGCAGCCTGGAGATGATCTGATTCTTCCCACACTGCACAGCAGCCACAACCTGTTCTCATGGTCCCACACAACATGGTCCCTGTGCCACAGCCAGGAGCCCTGTCCCACAGCTGGGGTAATGACCCTTTCTCTGCAAACCCTAAGCACGGCTCCCCATCTTTACCTATGTACCCTGCAGGTCCTGAACGCTTTGGCCACCTTTTCTTGTCAGTCCTGGCCTGGCAGGCTGGCTCCTGAGCACCCTGGGCTCTGCTGTCACCACTGCTCCACACAAACAGATGCTGCTCTGTACTTTTGGCTGATTAACACTGGTGTAAGTGAACAAGGACTCTCACCCATCAAGGACACCCTGCACAAGCTGTTACTGATCTGCTTCTTAACCAGTTCATCCCTGCAACTAAGCCTGAACAAAGCCTGCAGCTCTAGAGAAAGTACTTGCAATGGAGAGCAGCTTTTCCCTGCAGCCCTCCAAAGTGACTTACCAACGTGGGTAAAAGCGAATCACACTCCTGTTGCAGTAGCACCTAGAGATGCTATTTAAAAGCCAGGTTTATCTCCCAGAACAGATTGTGCTACAGAAGTTGTCTTAATGTCTCCTCCCTAGTTAATGAGCTGTGAAAAGGACTAGGAAGAAGAGAGGATAGCCAACCCAAAAGGCCTGGAAGCAAAGGTTTTGGAGAAGGGAATACTGCAGGACAACAAGGATGGAGTCTGCCACACTGGCCTGACCTGACACACTCACCTGGAGCATACTCCAACACAGAGAAGACTTCTCCCTTGGCACTGGTGAAGGTGACTCCGGGCTTGCCTCCGCTCTGCTGGCACAGCACTGGTGTCTCACTGGGCCACTCTGACCTCACCGGTGTCTGTGCCTCTGCTTTTTCTTCTTTCTTTTCTGTTTCCACCATAGCTTCCATCTTCTCCTCCTCTGCAATAGCCACGTTATCCAGAGTTTTCTTTAAATTCTCTTGCAGCTTTTTAATATCGTCCAAGAACTTCTTCTCCCGAGTGGGTTTTTCCAGCTCCACAGTGGGGGAGGTGGGAGACACAGTCAGCAGCTGCTCCACAGTCATGTTCTTCAGGCTCTCCAAGATCTTGATGGCCTCCTTTAGCTCGCGGAAGCTCTTGGGGGCTCTTTCCTTAACGCCTTTTTCTGCAGCCAGATCCGCAACAGCCATAGCCACAGCTCCCTGGACTTGTTCCTCCACTTTCTTCACCTCCTCTGCCGCTGGCTCCTCAGGCTCTAACTCCTCGATTTTTGGGTGGTCGTCTTCCATGAGGCCATTGTCTGTCTCCCAGCTGTCGCTTTCATCCTCCCACTCTGAGGATGCTCCACTGGTGCTGCCGTCAACAGAGTCATAGTCTGACTCCTCAATTTCTGATTCTATGTTGTACAAGTGCTGAAGGAGAGCAGAGTTACAAGAGAGCTCGGCTGAAGCACAGAGTGTTAAGTTGGTTAGGGTTACGGACAACATGCAAGTCAGTTCTTCCCATGAAAAGGGAGCCTGCATTTAGGATTGGTTGGGCTGTTTCAACCCCTTCCATCTCTACAGGGTGGACTGGGGTTGATCTAAATGACATGCTCAGTGGCTGGTACAGATTATGGATCAGCAGAACCCCACCCTCCACTTTTCAAAGGGCAAAACTAAGGCAAGTTCCAGGTTGGCTGCAGCCATTCCACTGGCTGGGATCCAGCTAGGGAGAGCACACAGGCACTAAACAGCTACCTGGATGCCCCAGGGTTTCCACATGCAGATGTACTGTGAGTGGACTTAGCATTTCTGGTCCTGCTTCTGTACTAGCAACTGTGTTGGCACAGAGCCCTGGTTTGGCTGCCTCCACACTCTGTTCTTCCACAGAAACAATGCTGGAAGCAGGAAAACATTCCCATACCAGCTTTCTTCTCCTGTGGCACACACTACTCGCCATCAGAGCCCTGCTATGCTGCTTCGGCTGTTGCATGTCACTACTGCTTAAAATTCAACTGGGACAATGAAGTCTAACCCAAGTTGCTGAATAAGCTCTTACATAAAATGTTCCCTTCCCCTTTGCTGCTGGAAGCTGAACCCTTCCATGCTCCATCTGGCCTCACCTCTTCTAGTTGTGCACATGCTATGTCTCCCACAAGGCCCCCTGCAGAGCCTTACAGACATACTGCAGCTACAAGCACCACCACAGAGGCAGGGAGCAAGAACAACTTCACAGGGCTGCGTGAGGATGGAGCATTTTATCCACAAGCTTCTGACACTTGACTGATGGCCCAAGAATCCTCTTAATCTTGCAAGATGTGACCCAGGGGCTAAAGCCCATGGGCACTCAATCATCTTGTCACAGCCCTGAACTGTTCTGTGCCACCCAGAGACAGGCAGGCAGCAGGGGTTAGCTGGGTTCAACACAAGTGACTGCAGGCAGGAAGAGCCATCAAACCTCAGAGCTAATCCAAATCTGAGGCGGAAAGGGAATTAGCCGTTCATGCCATCTTTATTTTTAGAGCTGAGAGAAAGCTCCCAACCAGCTCCTCCTAGGGCACAGGGACAGGCATTGATAAATCCGGGTTTCACCAACCGATAACTCACGCTCCTGACGTTCCCCAGCTCCCATCATTACGCACCCGAGCAGAATGGAAGGGGCTGGAGTGACACAGCAGGAGCTGCTGCAGAGCCCCAGCCCTGCAGGGTGAGAACAGCCCTTTGTGGAACACACATCAGCCCTCTCATTGTGCCTGTGATCCAAGCACATGTGACACCAGGGGGAAGGGAGACAGCAGCCTGCTTTGTGACACTCCAGTCCACTGCCATAGTGCAGGCATTGACTATTCTACTGTAATTAATGCAGAGCTGCTTGCTTTAGAAAGGAATCTGGAGCGAGTACTTTCTACTCCCAAATGCATCTCTGCAGTGGTGTTCTCTGCCACAGTGACAGAGATGGGGCCCTACAGATGCAGGCCTTCTCTTAGCTTTGGGCTGTCTGCCTTCATTTGAGGCAACAAGGAAAAAAGACATGGGATGAAACTACATGGAGCAGCGAAGACGATTACAGGGTAGTACAACAGAAAAGCTTAGAACAATGCAGGAGACATATCAATGGGGCTAAATGGATTAGCAGTGTGGCTGTATCTATTTTTAAGCTTGCACTCACCCCTTTTCCCTCCCTGCCCTGGGAAGAGATTTGGGTCTGATCCCTAGGTTAGCTGGGGTGAGAACCTGTGGCTCTGGCCCAGCTTCTGGAGGAGCCTCTTTAGCCAAAAAAAAACCAAAACCAAACAAACCACTATGGAGCTATTTCACAAGCAAGACAGAACAAACAATCATCTTCCAGCAGTGCCTTAGTTGGGCAATGCAGGGAACCTGGGCTCAGGTCAGAACTGATGATCCCTGAGCTCTGCAAACCCAAGTGCAGAGCAACAGGAGGCCAGGAGCAGGGCTGTGCAGAGCTGGGAACATGGCAGGGCAGTGTATGAAGGGAGCACTGCCACACCTTCCTGGTCTCTATAGTGAAGAGCAGTGATGGCCAGTTAGTTGTTCAGTCCTCCTGACAAAGGATTTTCTTGTGCTAACAGAATTGGGAGTCATCCTACGATAGGGGAAGGCAGTAATAAATGGAGCAAGATTCCCTTCCTCAGTGAATCTCTCTGCACCCAGGATTTAAACCCAAGACTTATCACGCAGTCAACAATTACAGGGATATCACAAACTGGAACAGAACCTCACCTGAGGCAGAATAATAGTCTTGGAGTTATCAGCCCACACCACTTCCACTTTACTGCTGACATCCACACGAGCCACTTGTCCGACTGAAGGCTGTGGAGACAAGAGCAGTTTGTCAATGCCTTTCCTCCCCCAGAAGTGCAGAGCAGGAAGGTTTCAGAAACAGATATTCCCCAGCTGGATAAGCACCTAGAGCAATGCCTGCAGCCCCAGCAGGAGTCTTGGGCTCCCATGCTGAGGGGCAAAAGAATCACATGGAAATCCCACAACACTGCCCTAGAGAAGGGGAACACTCTCCCAGGTGTTCACTGCCCAAGGAGGGGAGGAACCAGGAGGTCTCATATGGCAGGAGATCTGGTTTCTAAGCAGGCCCAGGGCCATTGCAGGGCTGTGCCAGGAAGGCAACAGGGCCTTCCCTGGAATGGGGCTGCCCTCTAGTGGGATCCCAGCAGCTTCTCCCAGGAGGGAGGGAACAGACAAGTCCCCGCTGGCACGGGGTGTGCACAGCAAGCAGCACGTTGCACTGGAAGGAGGTTATGCAGGTCAGCTGAGCAAGCTGGGATGTGCTTCATGCTGCTGAAACTGGAGCTGCAGGAAGAGCCACACTGCACCTTTTAACTCTTACTTAGGACAGCAGTCTCAAAAGCTGGAGGTCTTCCCTGCACATCGAGGATGCTGCTTTCATAGCAAAGAGTGCAACCTCTACAACATAAATTGTTCCCTCTTCCTCGCCAGATCAACTAGCTCAACAGAATTAAGATGTACATAACAGCTCAGATGAAAACCTGAAAACCACAACCCCAGTCTTCTGCTGCCAAGCGAAACTGGAGCCCACAGAATATCCCCATAACAGAGATTACCCTGAGACTTTAAGCAAGACTCTTACTAAACCCACTCAGGCATGTTTGCATCTTGTCCCCACTTTGTTCTTGCTCTGCTATAGACTCTGTCACCAAAAAGCAAAGGATTTCAAGGTTACATCTCCAGACTTTCAGGTTTGATGGGTTATTCATGACAGTAGGGAGCATCAATACACAGCTAGCAAGCTGAGGAGCTTAGGATACCCCTGTGGAGCCTGAGGCCCTCTGAGTGACTCTCTCAAGTGCCTCCACAAATAGCTGGTGACAATGTAGTCACGTAACTGTGCCCAGAACCCACCTCATCCTCCTTAGCTGTGGCTCCATCCGAGTTGCCAATGCGGATCACGATGTCAGTGGTGCGGAAGCGGAAGTCTGGGTGGTCAGCAATATCATACACACTCACATCCTCCTCCTCCCCGATCAGCTGCAGCACAGACAGAAGGTGAACACGTCAGCCCCAGGATGCTGCACTGACCTGCACAACACGCCTGCAACACTTAGAGGTACTGTGTTATAGGGGGTCAATTTCCAGTTGTCCAACAGCCTGCAAGGAGCTGCTGATGTCCCTTCCCATCACCTCATCCTGCAGCACATCAGTCAAGGTACAACAGTGAAAGGAAGCAGATATTCTGTGCCATCTGCTCATCCTCACCTTTACTTCAGGTTCTACATCACTACGATCACAAGAAGGCAAGCACAGCATTTTATCCCCTTCTGAACACCCAGATTTCTCAAAGCAGTTTGCTGAGGCCCAAAGGGTTAGAGTTTACTTCTGAAATGATCCAAGGCAATGGGAAGTGCCTGATGAAAGCCTTGTCAGTCAATAGGAAACATTTTTCCTTTGATTCCTCCTAAAGGAAGAGAGCTAGGAGCCTCACAACGAATGAGAAATGGGTGAAGTGGAGCACAATCCCAGGCCTCACTCATGGTCCACTTCTAGATGTAAAGGGCCCTGCTCGGTTCTGACAACGTGGTCTCCCCCACCCCATTTGTGTGGCTTGAATCCTCCTCATCTCCCAGCTAGACCAAGGTCTATCAGGACTCTGCAAAACAGTGTTCATACAAGCCCCGAGGAAAAGGCATCAGGCTGCCATAGGCAATAGAGCCCAGCACAGTGAGCAGGACAACAGGCAATAGGTTGCTTCTCTTTCCATGAGCTAGCAAAGCCATGGGAAGGAAAAATTCTTATAGTGAACTTAACAAATCAACTGTCCCTGATAACTTCAGCAATAACCTTCAGCCTGATGCTGATTATGGGATAGAAACTCTGTTTGGTCTTCACTGCCTAGGAGGCACCTATAAATATGCAGCTAAGCCTCATAGGGCCAAAAGCACATTGCTGTTCCCATCCTCAAGGACAAACTCTACTGCAGAGCTGACTCCCAGGCTTAAATGTGTGAAGCCTGTGTGTTTTGTGGCTGCTTTTCTCTTAGCTGGCTCCAACAAGCACCGGCTCCTGCACTTACCTCCACATCATCTCCACTGGATTTCAACTTGAACCACTTCACCACACAGGTACGGCCAATATGGTCACCAGATTGCACGACTCCATATAACCCAGGGTCCTGGGAGCTCTGAGCTTTGGGTCACAATGGTAGGGAAGAAAACAGACAAGGTAAGTGAGGAGCAGAGACTCTGCACAGCAACTGAGGCTGTCAGCTCCCAAGCACTCCCAGCTGAAACCTTCCATTTGTGAATGGCAGGAAGAAAAACACTTCTTCCTGCACAGTCACAACTGTATTCAGCTAATGAGCTGCACTTTAATGGGGCACAGGGATGTTAAAATAAGATTATTGGACTGGGTGAACGCATCCACTTTTGAGCTTTATCACCAAAAGAAAACACACTGTTCCCTTAGTGCTCTGCTCTCAAATCATACAACCACAGAATCCCAGACTGGTTTGTGTCAGAAGGGACCTTAAAGCTCCTCCAGTTCCAACCCCTGCCACAGGCAGGGACCCCTTCCACTGGAGCAGCTTGCTCCAAGCCCCTGTGTCCAACGTGGCCTTGAGCACTGCCAGGGATGGGGCAGCCACAGCTTCTCTGGGCACCCTGTGCCAGCGCCTCAGCACCCTCACAGGGAAGAGCTTCTGCCTAAGAGCTCAGCTCAGTCTCCCCTCGGGCAGGTTCAAGCCATTCCCCTTGGCCTGTCCCTCCATCCCTTGTCCCAAGCCCCTCTCCAGGTTTCCTGAAGCCCCTTTAGGCACTGGAGCTGCTCTAAGGTCTCCCCTTCAGGAGCCTTCTCTTCTCCAGGCTGACCCAGCCCAGCTCTCTCAGCCTGGCTCCAGAGCAGAGGTGCTCCAGCCCTTGCAGCAGCTCCGTGGGCCTTTTGGTGCCTCTTCAGCACCACACAGAGACTATCAGAGTCCAACCTGACAATAATTTGTGATCTCCACTGCTGAGGGACTACCCCTGCTAGAAAAGGAGCTGAAAGCAGATGGTGTGCCATCGTATTTCATGGCCAAAAATTCTAAGTCTCCTTGAACTTGTGCTGTGACCCTCACCAGTGTCAGCAATTGGTTTGGTGAAGAAAGGGGAAGCAAGATGCCTCTGGATCCCATAACCCCTCCATGAAAAAATGGGGGGGGGGGGGTCATGACAAACAAGCCATACAGAGGAAGCAGCCTAAAGTGAGCTGTTCCTTTCTCCCCATGTTCTGCAACAGAGCTCAAGGCTTTCAAGAAGAAGGTAGCCACCTCTACTGTACAGAAACACTGAGAATCCCAGCTTTACTCCTTGGCATTTACTCCTTCCACATCTTGCCTGTTATCACAGTTCAACAGTTTAAATAATGGTAGTTAAACAACGGTTCTCTACTGATACTCACATTGAGTTGGCTGAACCACTGTCCCTTGTTAGGCTCCTGCGCCTACCTCCAGTGAGTACTACTAAGCCTACCATAAAAAGGGCTGCAATGTACATTAGGAGATCCAGGCTGAAGAATATTCTGCATTTAAGAGCATGTTTGCTCCCCAAGGAGAGGACTGTTTTGCCACCCAATACCTCTTTTGTCCACGACAAAGTCCCCAGGGCAGAACTCATTGTTGTCCAGATGATGGACAGGAATCAGCTCGTTGGAGCGGATGTTTGTCTCCACGGTGCCATCCTGCCACATCACATCAGCCGAAGTCATCGTGGTCACCACCTCCACAGCAACCCTGGGAACACGGAAAGGCAAGGAGTTACCAGAGGGCATGTGCATGATCACAGCCAGAACGTGATGTTGCCAACCTCAAGAATCAAGATAGATCTCAGCAACACAAAGGTATGCTCATCAGCAGGTTGGGATGTCAGAAACCCACCTCTTCCCAGTGGCTTTGTTCTGACAGGTTCTCCACCATCCTGCAGATGTTACATTGCTGCAAGTCTGTATTACAGGACTTCCCTTCCAGGGAGCTGATGCTGAGCTCACTTTTAATCATAGTGGAGCACATTAACATCTGCCAGCATCCAGTTTCTAACCCTGGCATAGGCACAACACGAGCTTCAAATACTCTGAACCTTAAGAACATCTCCACCGCAGCACCTTCTGCCTGATGGCTCTGAGTCATCTTTGAAGCTAAAGAGCACAGGACTGGAAAGGAAAGCTAAAGCAGCATTCATCTCAGCCCCTCCAGAAAAAAGGAAAAAAGCCAAACAAAAAACCACTGATTATGGGTAAAGAAAAAGGATTTTGTCTGAAAGGAGGAAAGTCTCCTTCTCAGCTGTTCAAACACATCCATGTGTGTCTGCAGCTCAGAAATCAAACCCACACATGCAACAATGGACCACATGCTGGTCCTCTGCTGTAGAGCTTGACTAAACTGGCTCAAGAGGGAAGCTGAGAAGTTGAAGAGCTGCAGTTTAGCTGGACTGTCTCTTCTAATGAGCCCTCCATCATTTCCATCCTTCCTACAGCACAGAACAAACACTGCATGAGCTTCAGTTTAAACCTTGTCTATTTTGCTGGCCAGGCCTTCCAGACATAACAAAAGTGCTGCATTTGTGCTGTTTTCAAGTCATTCCATCAAGAAGATACAACAGGCAAATACAGCTGTTTTCCCCAGCCCTGTTTTTATGCATGGAGGACCCAACAGCATCAAAGCAGGGTCTGGAATGTTAGAGACATATTCTGAAGTGGAGATAACATGAAGTTTCTTGTGGGATCAGCACTCAACAGCAGAGTATCAGAGAACAAGTCTGCAACAGGTCATGTGTGGTGGGTGACATGCCCAGAGATGGCTCCTTGGGGAAAGTGGGACTATGCAAAGCTGAGGATGGGAGAGTGGAGAGGCTGGAAGGAAATGCTCCAGCCCTGTCTGCAGCAGAGCATATGCAGCTTCACAAACAAGAAAAACATGATTTAACATTAATAAAACCCCCTGTTACATCCTCACTCAACCAACCAGACCACACCCAACCACACACAAAAAACCCACAACACCCACAACCCAACCCACAAACACACCAGCCCAGCCACTCTGCAATTCTCAGCAGTGCTTGGCAGCACCTACTGATGGGCACCAGCTTCAGCTGGATGTTCAACCAAGCAAAGACCCCTCCTGCTGAGCTGTGACCAGCTGCCACATGTGTCCTGTAGAGTATAGGCTGGGGCTTCACATTCTCTGCTGAAAAAGCTTCCAGTTCCTTATTCTCTGCAGTATGGTCACTGCATCTGCATTCCCTTCTTGGAGCTGCCCAGATCAGGCCCAGGAATCTGTCGTCACAGGGATTTCTCCCCAGTGCCTGTATGGTGCAGAAAGCTGCCAGGTTCACCAGCTACTACGCTCTCCTTAACAAAGCCTTTAGTGAAATGGAGGCCCCAGCAAAGGGGTGAGAAGTGAAAAGTGAAGCCAGAATCAGTTCCCAGGATCTCCATCACACAACTCCTGCTCTGTCACTTGAATACTACCTGTGACCTTCAAATCCAGGTTCTCCAAACCCCACAAGGACTGAAGGAGCAGATCTCCTGGCATGCAGGCAAAGCTAAAATCACCAAAACGGGACTGAAGTTCATGGCATTCTCGATATATTGGGTCCCTCGAATCCTGATCCTGCCACTCTCCTGCCAGGATTCTCACGTATCTCACACTAGCTCATTTCTGGTGCAGGATCCATATACAACTAAGTAGCCCAAGGAAGCCAATTGCCAGACTGCATTCCATGAAGAGTTTAAACGTTCTCAAATTAGGTAAAAGGGAAAAGCTGCTGAGATGCAGTTTTATCTAGAAATGGGCAATGCTACCTCCTCCCCCAGGCTATGAAATCAATCCCTCCAAGGCTCTCAAGGAGTGCACTTTGTCCATTAAAAACCCAGTATAAAGTATACTGCTGGCAAAAGTTGCCCATTCTCTCCAGAGCAGGGTAAAGCTAATATAGACCACTGCAGTGTGAACCCCTGCCAACACAGTCCCTGCTCATCTGGAGACAGCTCTAGGAGGAGAAACTGTCCACTCCTGCAAGCACGACCTGTCCTCAGCCTCTCTGCAGAAGCTGCCAATAGGAAACCAATTCATGGCATGTTTAAGCTGTGTGATCTTTATTCACCCATCTCTTTCCCTGCATTAGAGTCTAATGCAGCACAGACATTCTGCCAATGCCCTGGGGCATAGCTGAAATGAAACAGCATCAGTGTCGTGTCATGTGGCCCCAGTTTCATCAGAAGCTGGACTGGGATCAAGCTGATTCCACACAGGCCACTGCACAGTCATCACAGGAGAATCGCTGTTAGTTACTGTTAAGGGTGTTCTAACGTGAGGCATGTCATCACCTTCCACCCAAGCTGAGGAGGTGGTTTACATCTGGGAACCTTGGTAAGGGAGACTTCTGGCAAGTCTACCAGGCTTTGGAAACCCAACTCACCTGTCTCCTGGCTTAAACTCCCGTGAGACTTTTGTCTTCTTCTTCTTGTGCTTCCGCTTCAAGTTTTTGATGGAAAGAGGGATGCTCTTCTTGCGCCCAGTGCCGCTGCCACTCTGGGATGAGGCCGTGGAGCTAGCAGAAGAGGTGACAGAGCTCGTGTCATCAGTGTCATCAGCTGCTTCATCATCAGCATCCTGCTCCATGGACTGAAGCCGGTAGTCGGACAACCCTTCATCCTTCAGCAGAAAGGGAGGCTGCTGTCGTGCTGCTGCTCCCTCTTTCTCCTTCCCTGTTTCCTCAGGCTGCTCCTCCTTGCTCTCCTCAGGACTCGGTGCACTGGTGGGAGAGTCATCCAGCTCACACTTGGATTCAGGCTTAAGCTCTTCTGATTTTTGGTCATCAGCTGCAGCAGCCTCTTTTTCAGGGGACTCACTGGTACCCTGAGACTCTGGGGAGCAGGACATGATCTTCACTATCTGCTTCTTCAGCAGCCGTCTCACCTACAGAAAGCAGAGCTGAGTCAGACAACGCCTGGGCACCCCACAAACTGCCAGCCAGCTTTGCACACAGAGGAACACAGCACCCCAGAGGCCTCTGCACAGTTCATGGGCCCCAGAGTGAACCAAGGAGAGCAGCACTGGGCTAGTCCAAGGGCAGTGAGCTCTGCTCCTGGAGGCTATTTTAAGCTTTTTCTGAAGTTTTCATTATGGAAGGTCACCAGTTAATCTATGTAGCAGACAGAGCTATGCAGGGAGGTCACCATCCCCACTGATGATATCCTGTTATTCTAGGAACACCGCTGCTCTGCTGCCAGCATGTAGAAGCCGTAGCGTGACTCACTTGGCCTAGGATGCAAAGACTTCCTTGTCTCACTGCAGCCAGGGTTTAACTGAACAGCACAGCTCCATGAGAAACCTGAGGCCATGCTAATGAAAACAGCTTGTGTCTAATGGCCCTGGCTGTCAGAGCACAGCAGCTCTGACACAGCTCGACCCCTGCGAGGTGTCAAGTGTGTTCAAGGTCCTGCTCGTGTTCTCTCATGGCATTAGCTGCATGCTTCACTCCACGCAGTCAGGCTGCTGCACAAGGTGACTTGGCTGCTGGCAACAAGGAGCCATTACTCTTTACAGCCACCACTTCAGGAGTCACATTTCAGGCTGCATGACAGCGTGGAAGGTTTCTGCTCTAAAAGCCACAGCAACCAGAAATACTTTGAGAAGATAAGGACTCCCTCGAGCCCTCAACTCACCTTTTTGGCAACGGACCCTTCACCCAGGACACAGTTCCTCTCGGGACATTCACACGTGATTTTAGCAGGTTCCACTTTGTCTGGGAACACATAGAGGCACCTTTCTCCAAGCTGCCTTTGGGCATGGTCAAAGCACCCCAGCCGCTTTACCCTGGTGGGACAGGAGGACACCCATGAGCAAAGTGCAAAAGCAGTAGCAGAACATAGCAGTGCCCAGCGAGGCTCATACCAACGGCTCTTCTTCTGGGGTGGCAGGAGCTGAACACCACATCAGATCGTTCCCAGGCACACAGTTCTAAAGAAGTGGGGATCTCACCAGGGACTGGGTGGGATACCAGTGACTCCTTTCCCTCCAGCTCCCCTTCCCAGAGATGCTGCCAAGAGACATTTGAAGTGGGCACTGGGTTTTTTTTGCTGTCATCTGAGAGCTGCTCTGCTCCAGCTTACGAACTCCAGGCAGGAACCCCACTGCATTGAGCTATTACTCATCTGACGTTCCCTGCTGAGCTGCATCCAGCCCAGTTTTGCAGCTGCGGCCTGCAGAGGGCACCAGCTGCTCCCTCAGCACCAGCCTGGCTCTGGAGAGGACCTGCTACACGCACACACAGAACAGATGCCCCCTACTCCAGAGAAGTGGAAGGATGAAGGAAGAAGTGACCTGTTGTCAGACACTCCTTTCCCCTATTCACTTGTCAGCTGGAGAGTACTTGGAGATGCTAGCCCTTGTGTTGGTAACTCCAGCATCTGCTAAGCTGATCTGGAAGCTATTCTCTGACATTTTGAAGCTCTGGAATATGCAGGCATGGACCAAGGAAGAGCAGCACTGTGTCTGATCAGTTAGCAGACAGGTCACCCATAGTCTGTACAGGCACTGGGTGCTGAGAGTGAAAAGGGTGCTCTCACCTGGACAGCTTCTCTTGGCTGATTACTGAGGGAGGAGGGCTCACACTGTCAGTACCTCCAGGACAGAAACTTTTAGTGATCCATGTAACCTTTAGTTCCACCACCTGTACCTACAAAACAAAGAGAGAAAAGGCAACTCAATTCCCCAAAGGCTTTCCTTGACCAGTGCCTAGGATCTGCATCCCTGCACCCAGGAAAGCAGCAAACCTGTGTGTGCTCCCATAGCCTGGCTCTTGGCAACACCAAGAGTTTCTAGAGTTCTTAACTCCAAGAAAGATGACACATGGCTTGGGAAGGAAGCTATATCCATACAAATCAGCAGCCCAATGTCACAGAGACATGCTAATGGACTTGGAGCTGCTCCCTCTTGGAGTCAGCAACATTCCTCTCTTTCTGGATAGTACTTAACCTTGAGTTCCAATAGAAGAGGTGCTTCTACTGCCCTAATGATCAGCTTCTAAGTGTATTGGCACATGATCACCTTTGCAGGGTGCTGTCAGCGAGGCAAAGCCAAACCATGCTCAACGGTCCTGTCAATCCACAGTGAGGAATTTGTCACCTCAGGAGAACACAGCCAAAGTCCATGTGCTTGTGGAAGGTGCCCATGGCAAGCTAACTGTGCTCCAAAGCGCCAGGCAGGGCCTGTGCAGGTGGTTCTATGTCTGCTGCTCAGCCCTTACCTCTTCCACCACCACTCTGAACTTGCTCTTTGTGCTCAGAACAGGCTTCACACCCGACAGCCACTGCACGCTGGAGAAGACTTTAGAAGGCCCGATGAGGACTTGCCCAGGATAGAAGCCGTATGAATCATCAAAGAAGAGACCCTGTGGGGGGAAAGGAGGTGGAAAAACCAGCATAAAGGACTGTACGATTTATGATTATAGCATTGCTTGCGTCTCATTTGTGATCAGTAAGATTAACCATAAGGGTAAAGTCTGCAAGTTGCCCATCTCCTAAAGCTCATTCCTCTCCTATAGCAGTTCCTATAGCAACCTGCTCTGTCACACATCCGAACAGGACTATGACTCAAGGCGGAGAGAAGCAAAGGAACTTGCAAGAAACAAAAGATGTGTATTTCCACACAAATGCTCTCAGTTCAAGGTAGCCAAGGTGGGCTGAGCCCTGGCCAAGGGCACTATCTCTTTTCCATGCCCTCATTCAAGCACCTATAGCTTTCAGAGCCAGAGGATACCTGCCTTCACTCCTCTGCTCCTCAAATTCATTGTTCAGTGTTATTTGTCTTGGGTTGGTTAGTTAATATGACAGTTCTTTGAAAGCAAACCAGGACAAACACAACAACTGCTCTCCTAGAGCCCTTTCCTGCTGATATTCGGAGTGACTTTAGACTCAGAGTGTGGAGGTGGACAGAGCAGCGTAGGGCAGATAAAATCCTGAGCACCCAAACCTGTATCAAGTCCTGTCATTTGCAGGAAGGGTAAGAGCAGTGTGACAAGATCTAAGTCAGGTAAGTTCCGAGAATGGGAACAAGAGTAACACTGGAGACAACTCCTGTTTCAGACGAAACCCCAAGTCTCCTGGGGGCTATGTATGAGTCAAACACAGCCTGACTCAAAACAAGGTAACCAGAAAGCGGATGCTACTACAAGCAGCAAACATACTGGAATCATACAACCCAAAGGAGCCGAGAGGAAGATACTGGAGAATATCTAGAAGCAGACCACTCCTTTTCTATACAGAACAAGAAAACAGGAACAGCACATCCTATTAAACTGACACTCCTTTTACTCTTCAAGAAACTGGCATCAGATTTTGGCAGAAGTGCTGTCTTAGTTCAAAGGGAGCTTGGATTTGAAGGCTGGGATGGATAGGGGCTGACTGCATTGCTAGCTCCCAAGAATTAAACACCATCCTCAGTCAACTCTCAGTACCACTGCAGGAGTACAGCAAGGCCATACTGATGGCACTGGAAGAGCTGTCACCCTTTAAAGGGGAGAGAGGTTAGATCCCATCACCACACAGGGAATTCTGGTCTGCCCAAAAGCTAGCAAAACCCTCCCCAGCACATGATTTGGAAAATGCCAGTATGGTGGCAGGTCTCCATTCAGAGGACATGATGGACCACAATAACAAGAGGGACAGTGTTTTATGTGATGTGGAAACATGCTTCTAGCACAACACCTTTTCAACGTGCCCTTTTCCAGAAAGGGAACAATTCTGAAAGCATTAAATGGAGTAAAGAGCCTTTTCAAGCATGTACAGATCTAATGAGCAGTGAACTGCCTTGACATCAGCCATCTGACTACATGTTATGCAAGTTGTTTGCAAAGGAAGCAATTGGATTCATGGATTGTAATACCTCCACAAAATCTGCTCATTACTAACATCACCTTTAAGCTACATTCTGTTACACTTAAAGTGAAGAGCTAGTGAAGTGCTTTTCAGCTGTGATGCATCGTGTAATTTTAGATTAATAAATGGCTATACTTCTGTCTTCTCTCTCCCTCCCTCCTGCACAAAAAGCTGACAAGATGAAGGTGATCAAAAAGACTCTCAGGAAAAGCAGCAGCTCACCGAGTCACTGACATGAGGACAGACATCATACAGCTTGGCTCCATCTTCTGTGCTCATAGAACACCTGGAAAACAGACAAGAGACACAGTCACGCTTCTAGAGCCAAACACCAAATCAACTGCCTGAGTGGGTCTGTCTGTACACCCCGCAGTGTATCACTGAGCCTTTATGGTCCAGAGCAAAGCTGCTTACAGACAAGCTCTAAAAGCCCTGCTTGTATCTAAAGGTTCCATTCAGCATGTAAAAAGAAGTAAAATCATTAAGTAATAATAAATTCAAGGAATCTTAAACATATCTGGTTAAAAGGTCCCATTTGTCATTCACACTGATGCTGGAACCTCAAGGCAATTGGGGTATCTTGCTTCAGCAACAGCTTCACTTCCAGAGTTAGTTCTGATGGGATTTCAAATGATTCATTAGGAAGAGGTTTTGGAAACAGTTACCTCATTTCACATAGCTATGTATGAGCTGGTAACAGACAGCAAGAAGGTTTTAAGCTGCAGCAGTAACTGCAGGAGATACAGATAAAGAAGTGGAGCTATTTTTCACTCCCAGTTTAGCATATGCATAAGAGACTTCCAGCCTGAAACAAACGCTGAAACAATCAAAATCAGACACATCCACCAGTCATCTGTTATAGCTCTCACATTGCTTCTCTTAGAAAGGCTCAGAGCTGCCTGCAGGATTGTGGGTTTGGAGGTTTTAAACATCAACACTCCATTTACAAGACAGATGGGCTATTTCCCAGCTTCCAGGCCTATAAGCTTCCCGGCCCTCCCTTGCATCAGTGAAGTTTGTTGGACAAAACATGCTTCAGTGGCAGTGAATGCAGTGAATTCAGAGGGGTTTAGCTCCCAAGTAACTGTCCAACAGAATTCAGATCCTTCTGCTGGCTCTGCAGAAATTAACCAGGTATTTCAGATATGTCTTTCAATACCTGTGGTTAAGTCTCTCTCAAGATAACTTTGGATTAGGTCTTCATTAAAAAAGCATTCCTACTACAATTGCAAACAACTGTGTAACAAGCAAAGCTGTTCAATCCTGGTTTCATAAAACCCACCAGCCTCCAAGTTCCTCCACTTTCACAGACCTTTCTTAAGGTAACAATCCTCCCAGTGGAGTTTTCCTCTCCTACTGAAAACAGGTCTGGAACAGCAGCCCATATTAAACAGCTAGTTTTCAGAACAGAAGTGCAGTTTAAGGACCAACACACTTGAGTTCTGAAGTACTCAGGTCTGCTGGAATTGAAGAAAACTGTCACCTTCCAGGCAACAGCTTTTCCAGGTGACCAATGAACCTTAATGTTTTCAGAGGTAGATTTACTCTTACTCTACATCTGAAGATAAAGCAGGCAGATAACTCATCAGTATGTGAATGAAGTTTCTGGTTCTCCTAAAACAGATCAGGATTGTGAAAGCCACAGGGGGACAGTCTTCAACAGCAAGAAGTACCTGGCTCCATTGGAAAGCTTGAGGATGACCTGGTTCTTCAAATCATAGACCTTCCCCAGCCAGCAGTCATAGGCTATGTAGTCACCATACATGAAAGGCTACAAAGAAAACAGAAAACAAAACCTTATACATATTAACCCTTGTACTTTAAGCCATAAGTCCTTACACCATGCAGACTAGATAGCAATCTCAAAGGAACTCCTCACAGCAACTGCAGATCTTCCTATGAACTGGAATTAAGGTGCATCAAAGTTTGTTTCACAGTCAGCATGGAGCCTGGATTCTCCAGTTCAAAAGCTCAGGCTCTCTCTGGGATTTTTTTCCCCCTCCCATATTAAGTTTAAGTGTCCTGTTCAGTTTAGGAGGTGCTCTGCAAGGTAGAGGTAAACTAACACTTGCCTTCAGTTAATATTAGCAATTGTTATCACTGAGAGTAGCTTTCCATCTCAGAGAAGCTTCTATCCCATTGCCTTTCCACAGGCTACGTCCTGAGAAAGGATGCGACACTCCAGCTCTTCGCTCCCAAATTACCTTTATCTCAGAGGAAAAAGAATGATGAAATCCTGCCTGCTCTCTGGAAACCATCCACCCACTCAAGGGGAGAACCAGATTTGGTTCAGACTGTTCCAGCTCAACAGAAAGATGCTCAACTTCTTTCAGCTTTTTATTAGCCTCTTTAAACAGTACCAACAGCTCAAAAGCTCTGTGCCACTGCCATGGGGCTGCCCCAATCAGGTTGACACAGCAGCCCATCTCAGTTCTCACACAACTGAATGTCAGCCTTGCCCTTCAAGTCAGTTTGGCCTCAGCAATGTGATCAGAAACACAGAACAGATGGGGAGATGAGGTGATGCTGCCTCATCTTCTTCCAGGGAGGATGCTTGCAGTAAGTTTAAAATAAAACCAAGCTGCAGATGCTTTCTGCACAATATGGATTCTTCCCTTGCGTGTGTTACTTGGAATACAGCAACATCCCTCCAAACCACCAAGCCCTGGCTCCCACGTGGATTTGGCCTGTGTTCTCACCCAGATATGTTGCAGATCTTTGCTGTTGACAGGGTAGAGGATGCAGTTGGTTCCTACTAACTTCACAGCACACTCTATGTTGACATCAATTACAGTTCCACACTGGCTGTCCTGAAAAGGCAAAAGAGAAAAAGAGTTTATCACCAAGGGAAGGTCTTATACACACACACACACGTGCTCTACGCACACAGTGCAGAGGCAAGTAGCCTTTCAAGCCTGTTCAGTCTTACCCTTCAGGCCCTCATTCTGAAGGGGCACTTCAGAGGACCCTAAGGCAACTCAGAAGGTGAGATCCCTTAAATACCTGTAATGTTTTATTCCCAGTTAATATGGCTGCTAAAGCAGCAGACCAGAGAATGCTGCATCTGGTCAAATAAAAACAGTGTCAGGTTTGTCCCTGCCCATGGCAGGGGGGTTAGAGCTTGATGATCTTAAGGTCCTTTCCAACCCAAACTATTCTATGATTCTATGATTGGAACTTGCTTTAAAATCTGCCTGGCTCCTTGGTTTATGCAAGGGAGCAGACTTCTGCAACTCCATAGGACCTTCCTGCAGGTACTGCCCTGAGACAGTAAAGGCAGTGGTAGGTCATCAACTGCAGAGCAAAAAACTGGGCTCTGGGGAGATCTTAGACCAGCCTTCCAGCTGTTCTGGGGCTACAGGAAACCTGGAGAGGGGCTTTGGACAAGGGCCTGTAGAATCATAGAATCATAGTATAGTTAGGGTTGCAAAGGACCTTAAGATCATCCAGTTCCAACCCCCCTGCAGGGACACCTCACACTAAACAGTGTCACCCAAGGCCTCGTCCAACTTGGCCTTGAACACTGCCAGGGATGGAGCATTCACAGCCTCCTTGGGCAACCCATTCCAGTGCCTCACCACCCTCACAGGAAAGAATTTCCTCCTTATATCCAATCTGTAGGGACAGGCCAAGGGGAATGGCTTGAACCTGCCCGAGGGGAGACTGAGCTGAGCTCTTAGGCAGAAGCTCTTCCCTGTGAGGGTGCTGAGGCGCTGGCACAGGGTGCCCAGAGAAGCTGTGGCTGCCCCATCCCTGGCAGTGCTCAAGGCCAGGTTGGACACAGGGGCTTGGAGCAAGCTGCTCCAGTGGAAGGGGTCCCTGCTCATGGTACGGGTTGGAGCTGGAGGAGCTTTAAGGTCCCTTCCAGCACAAACCAGGCTGGGAATCTATGAACCCTTTAAAGCTGTGACTTTTTGTCAAGCTCAGTTTTGCAGGACATGAGAAATAGTCTTCATGTGCTGCCATGTGAAAAATAACTGATGCAAACCTGGCACCTGTAGTCAGGTTTCAAGGCAGATCATTCACTGCTGCTCCAATCAGGAGGCAGTTGTCATCTCCCTCATTTCTTAGCAAAGTTTTAACCTTTTTTGCCCCCAGGAAACTGCTACGTGCTGTCAAGAGCCTTCTGGGGGTGGCCTGGCAGGGAGCACACAATGTGCATCTTGCCCACACATATGGTGGAGGCCTGCAAGGAAGGGCTGCTAACCCAAACACTGTCAGAGCAGCAGCTGCCCTGGCCTCCTGGCACAGCTGATACAGATTTATTAATGACTACAAGCCCATTAGAAAAGCTGTGTGAGGGCCAGAGTGACAAACACCCTGGTATCAGAACTCCTGAAGCTGTCCTTATCTCAAGCATCAAGGTCTCTGCTCCAACAGGACTTGAGCAAAACACTCGAAGGGCTTAAGCCCTGTGAGAAGTGGATTTGTTTGCTCAGTCCCACTTGTAAACATGCTCTCTTTTGATTACATTAAGTATTTATTCAAGGCTTTCACTCTGAGCCCCAAGGCAGCCCTTTTGGGACTTTGCTGGTGCTCAGCACATCCAGCCCCATCTTGGGAACTGGTAGTTAAGAGCAAAGACACCCTACAGACACCCGCAGTCCAGGATAATTCCTGGACAGACTGCTCAGCCCATTTGGCTGGCTGGCTTTCCACCTGCCTGTTGCAAGTCTTCCCTCCTCACATCCCATTAAAGCTGTGCTCTGCAGCCTCCTGGCTCCTGAGGCAGTGATGACGAGGAGTGGGTCCTGCCCCATGCACTGCCCATGCAAAGCTGTGCCAGCACGGCCAGGAGGGCTGGCAGAGCCTGAAGCACTTGGGCTCATTCCCTCCATCTGGTCCACGTATCATTCCCATTTCTTTCTAGAAAGGCCGGGAAGCGATGGGAGCTCCGCCATGGCAGACAGCACTCGCAGCCTGCACAGGCTGCCAGGGTAGGGCCCAGCAGAGCTGCTCTGTATCTCTCACCTGAAAAGGAGTTGCCAGAACTCCCCCACATCCACTGCCAGCAGGATTGGAGCTGCAGGATGAGCCAGGCCAGCTCAGAAGTGGCACCTGCTCCACAAGCCCACAGCTCCTGCAGGCTGCAGCACGGCCACCACCCTGCTTCCCTGCACATGAAGTTCAATCAAGCATGCCCAGTCCATCCTCTGCCCATGCCCTGCAGATCAGGCCCTGTGGTTTAGGTTGCTTAACAGTCAGAACCAAAAATCCCCCTCAAGCAACAAAATTCCTTGCTCCATGCTGAGCACTTCAGAGTTCTTTTTGCCTTTATCAGGTGCCAACATGACAGCAGCTTTGAGACATGAAGCAATCCAACACCTGAGGTTCCTGTGCATCATCTTGTCTCTGGGCCTAAACCCCCTCTTTTATTGATGCTGAAAGTGATAAACCCAGGACTGGGGTGACACCAGCACCCTCTGCCCATACTTTAGTGACAGCTTCCAGATGGAGAAGGTTCCTGCACCACCCTACAAGCCAGCCTCCCATCTAACACAGTCAGGTGCTGTTAGCCATGGGTTTAGTTTGTCTTGCTTCATCTTCCAGCCACACTTGAGCAAGCAGAGAGGCCTGGCTGTGGTTAGGAAGGCAGAGATCAATGCCGGGAGCTGTTGAGTTGCAGCTCTCCTCCCTCACCTGCCCCTGAACCTGTGTTTATTGGGAGGTTATTTACTTCCCTGTCACATGAAGCACCAGCCTCCGACAGGGGAGGCAGATCTGCAGTTGAGGGCTTCTGCTGAATCATTCCCATTACAGCAGCTCAGCAATGCAGTCCCAGAGCAAGAAGTCACCACCGTGTCTCCTGTCTTCCAGGGCAGGCTCCCCAGCAGCCTGCTCCAGCACAGCTGGCCCAGCCTGTTCATCAGATGCTTCCATTAAAGGATGGAAGGAGCTGACATTCCACAGTTCTGGTCCAAAAAACTCAATGTCCATCAACCCCAACAACAGAACTGGAAAAGGGAGGGGACTGATCTGAAGAAGAGTTGATGGGTTCAAGTCCCACTTAAACCAGAATCAAGTGCACTTCCTAGACTTCCTTCCTGCTGCTTCTAGTTCCCTGACAGCATGCACCACACTGGAGATACTGAATATTTAGGCAGTGAATGGAGAAGACTCTGCCTTCCTCAGCAGAGACAAGGCTTTGAGGCAGAGCAACAAAGTTCAACCTGAAAGGACAGCAGCTTAGCAAGAACAGGCTTCAATCCTGCATCTTCTACTTCCCATCATTCTACTCTTTCCTTCATCACTCGCTTTTCTAATAAGGAGGTTTTTATAACAACCTCTTATGCCTTTATTTAAAAGGGCCAGCATAGCCCGGCACCCTCTGAAGCAGCACAATCCAGATTACAGACACCTATATACACTCCTTCCCCAAATGAGCCTATCACCTGGAAAAATGAACTCTGCCACCTCCAGCACTTCTCATCCAGCTGGATTAGACTCAGAGGCCCAACTGCATCCAGAGGGAATGATCTCATTTTCTGCATTACCCCTGAAGCAGCCTTTCCCCACACTCAGTGCTCGATACAAAGCACATGAATTTGAGTCAGCTCTTCTCTTGAGGAACAGAGGATTGAGTCCTTCCCGCTCAAGGTTAAAAACAAGCCCTAAGAGCGTGTGGTGAATACAGAATAAGTTCCACCCTGTGTATTTGCCAGGCCAACTGGTGCAGGGCAGCCATCCCACATCCTGCACTTGGCAGGCTGACACCTGCAGATCTTCTATTTTCTGTTTCTATTCTGCTTAACATCGAAGGTTTTCTTTGGGATAGAGAGGGTTTGTTTCATTTACCACTGACATTTAAAACATGCTTGAGGGGAAGGTGAAATATAAGTCATCTTCAGGCTTGCCATGCTTTTGAATAGAGGGAATAATTTGAGTTATACCCTTTCAATTAAAGAAAACGAAGTTGTCAGCCACCAGTACCAATGGCCAAGCAAAAGCCAGTGTTTAAACATGCAAACAGACAATAAAGGAGCGTGCAAAACAACTGCCGGGTAATTTATCTGCTGATACACGTGCAGCAAGCCACAGAAGCCAAGTTCTGCTCAGATGAGTATGGAAATTGCAAACAAAAGCAGCACATCCATGTTTGCCAAGAGGAGAAGAATTTGCTGCTCTGAAAGCTTAAAATGTCTGTAAGCAGCACTGGAGAACAGAGAGTTGGGAGGGAGGACTCAGAGCATCCCTCTGCATGAGGAGGGTACACTACAGAGTCCAGCTGTGCCAGGTACAGTGGTGTGAAGAGCTGATGTTTCAATTTGCTTTCATTATTGGGGATTGAAATGCTTTCATCAAGCTCCAGCTTTAATAACATCCGTTGACTCCAAATTTCCATTTCAAAACCAATGTAATTTCTTAAGGAAACGCTTTGTTTCAGCATTTTTCAAATTACCCTTCAAGTTTCTTCTCCCTTCTCTTTAGAGCATTCGGTGGTAAAAAAGGGGTGGGTTTACTTTTTAATTGACAAAAAAAAGGCTTTATTTAAAACCCCAAAACACCCAGGTCAGAGAATGGCCTTCCCATCCCTGCACCAGGCTGGGCACCATGTGGTGCAACTGCAGCGGCGAGTGGCCAGCTGCCTGCTTCATCACAGCCTTGGTAGCCACGTTGCTGGAAGCAAGGCAAGAGAAGATGCAGGCACATGGCAAGCCATATGGCTCAGGGTTACAGGTTAGATGTGAGCTACAGTAAGAAACTGCCAGCCTAGCTAAGCCCCTCAAGAGACCACAACTCAGCCAACCATCCAAACTGAACACAAAAACCAAATCCACACATCTCTGCTAAGCACAGCTACAACAGAACGAGCAGGACTTAAACCAGTGTGCAGAAAGAGTACAGGTAAGGATTACAGGCTGCTTGCTTTCTGTCAGTCTGTGTCAGATGCTTTAGCAGTGTTGGGATTTGAGGTCTATCTGGGAGATGCTGGACAGGATGGTGCTCACTGCAGGCTGAGAGGTCTTCCTGAAAACATTCCCTCCAAATTCTCTACCGCAGCACACCAAAAGGCAAGCAAAGCAGTGATGATGTGATCTGCCTCTGCTTCAGCCTCCCTGTCAGGTCCAGGAGAGATCCATGCTCCTCATCCCAGCATGGACTGACTTAAAACTTAAATGATGGTAGGATAAATGAGCTTGTCTCATTACTTGGCATTATCAGGCTTGCTTGCTCAGGAACCCTTTGCAGATATGCAACAGCAGAGAGGCAGCCTTATCAGCATTTCATTTTCAAAGGATGCAGCTAGGTCTATCAAACACACTAAAAATAGAACATGCTCAAAGCATTCCTGTTCAGTTCCATTCAGGCAATTTGGCAAGCCTCGGAAATCTATGCAGCAGTATCACAATCAAAACAGGACAAAGAAAAGAGCACTTACACTGGAGCTCATATGTCTGACCACATCTCGAGGGACCACAGAGCGATCTTCAAGCTTCAGCTAAGGGGAGACAGAGAGAGACTGAATTTAGTGACCCCAGATGATACTTAGTCAGAAATAACATGACAAATACAAATGCACAACATCCCAATCCTCCAGACAGAGGGTTTTCAGCAGAGGATGCTGAGGCATTTCCGTACAGAGTTAACCCCCTTGGCACATGCACAAAATCCAGTTGCCAGATCCAAAGCACAGCAACCAGGCGCTCCGTCCACGACCGTGCTCTAAATCAGCAGACACATCAAAAAGGATGCAGACATCCTGACTCGTTCATCACTTCTAACCTCCCTCTCTCCTCTTCCTCCATCTGCACCACACATCCTTTTGTACCCACACCCAGTCTATGTACCAGAGAAGTAAGATGACACAGGAAGCAGCACATCACACCAGAGTCCTGTGTCTCATCTTGCACACAAGATAACCCCAATATCTGTGGGTATGTCTGGCCTGGAACATTTGAATCAAGGTACTGTATGGTGAGGAGTCTTAAGAGAGCAGGGGAATTGGTGCTGAATTCACTGCAGCAAGCACTTGCCTTTGGGGAAAAAAGGCAAGTAAGTGCAGCAACACTTAGTAGCCCCCAGGGCCATACAGGTAACACAAAACGTTGGTAAGAACATGGATGAAGCCAAAGCACTGCTTGTACTCCTGCTAAAGCACTTGCTGGCAGAGTCAGAGCTGGCAACAAGAGGTGGCTGGACCATCATTACATGTTCTGCATTTGTTCATGCAGAGCTGGTGCACCAGCAGTCAGGGTAAGGGGAGGTATCACTTGATCAGTCTTCAGTGGTTACTGGTCAATTAACCAAGTGGTAGCCTTCCAACAGTGGTGCTTCATCAAGCTGCTTCAGTGATCTCAAGGCTACCTGCAGACCATTAAGTGTCATCAAGCTCAAAACTACAACATGCCATTGCCATCAAACACACTAATACCAAGATGCTACACAAGGAGTAATGCCCTGAGCATACTAACAGGGAGGCCACAACTCCTGTTTCAGGCTTGCTCAGCCTCACAGCAACTGAGCTGAGATGTCCTTCTGCTGAACAGAAGGAAGAAGCTCCATCTGCGTTTCAGTGGTGAAGCGTATCTGCATTGGTGCATCATTCTGAGCCCAGCAGACACACTCATTACACATCGGGAGTGCATTGTCAGGGACAGAGCCTCTTCCACATCTCACCTTCAGCATCCACCTTTCCACTGCTGCTGCGTTCCTTGCTTTTTCTTGTGGATTCCAGCCTAAAATCTACTATGCTTTGTCAGCATTTCATCCTAACCCACACCCTGGCTTCCAGCCTGCTTTACTAAATTAGACATAAATCTATAATTCAAGGACAAGATCCGGAATCAACCCAAAGTACCTGAGTATTTATGGCCTTCTTGATGGTGTATTTCAGTAAGAGAGGAAGGGAGCCAGCCAGCCAGGCTTTTAGACCCAGCTTCTGCAGTCAGGACTTCACCAGAGTGGGAAACCTGAAGCCCACAGCCCATTTCCAGACCGTGGAAGCATTTTCATTGCCTCTCACATCCCACCAGGGTATATAGAGCACATCAATTTTTATAGAGCTTTCTAAACTTGTTTGTTAAAATAAGTACTGTATAGATAGCCTCTTACCATCCAGAACCAGAACACTCACATTCCAGGAAGGACTCGAGCTCAGGCAGCAGTTTGGCTATTTGAACTGAAGCTCTCTTCCTGCAGAGCTCCGAGTGTATAATGATACTTTCACTTCAACATGCATCAGGGCAATTTAATCTCTGACACATGATGTTTAAATTGATGTGTTATGTTTCAACATACCATTGAGCCATACCATTCTGCTCTGTATTAAATGCTACCTGAAGAACCCAGCCTGTCAAGGTGATCCGATGCTACCTGACAGCGGTGATACTTGTGCACCAGTCAACTCCAGTAAATCACAGAAGTTGTAAAGGAGCAGCGTCCCCATTCTGTGATCCTTCCTGAAGGATACAACCATACAAGCCCTTCCCAAAGCAAGGCATAATGCTTCCTCTGCAGGGGGCCTACATCTCACCTCTTTTCAGATCACTGTTTTTAAAGGCAGCACCACTATTTTCAGCTTCATGTGCCAGACCCACCTGCCTCAAGTTGCCAGGATAAGCAAGCCACATAGGAGGCAGGATGCCAGTGTCAACAATAAATACTCGGCAGGTCTGTCATCACACAAAAGCCTGTGAAACCCCAGAAGAACCCCGACCAGAGGAAGCCAGGATGACACTTCAGTCATTCCTCCTCTTGCCTGTCATACCCAGAGTGATGTGATCGTCAGCAGCAGGTCAGCCCCCTCACTCAGCAGTGAGAGAACTCAATATTGAAGCCTTTTAAAATAGGTACTTACAGCTTAGTTGCTATATTTACCCCTATGAAAGGCAGTATTAACATGAGTTTGATGGTCTAACCATGCACCTTGATAATAGCTCCAAGAATGATAAATACCAGGTTCCCAGCAGTGCCCTCAGCTAGTCCGGCACTCCTGTGAGCCACACTGGGCTCCACACCCTCCAAACACCTCAAACACAAGGCATGAGGAATGAACCCACATTCCTGTATGTTAAATAAGGCAAAACAAGGACATTCATCAGTGAACACTCAATTTTACCCAGGCAAAGAGGGACACCCAACATGCACCCACCTGGACTCTGCTACGCTGGTGAGTGTGTCGACTGCAAAAGAGCTCTGGCATCCACTTATTTCCTCCCCTATTCAGATGTTCTTTGGGTGCTCAGCATGGAATCAATACCTAAACTCTACAGTAGACTTACCAGTCAAAAGGCATCAGCTGCAATCTAGAGAACATCTGATACTTCAACACATCTGAAGATGTTCTTGTACCACATGCAGCAGGAGGGGTACAGCAGTATTTGATTTCTGCATAAGAACAAGCACCAACAGGAGCACAGTCCCTTTCCCAGCTGAATCTGCATACCTCAAATGAAGTAAGGCAGCATAGTGGCTCTTACCTGAAGCTGGGTGGACTAGGAGAGAACAGACAGGCTGAGAGCTGGGCTGGTTCAGCCTGGAGAAGAGAAGGCTCCTGAAGGGGAGACCTTAGAGCAGCTCCAGTGCCTAAAGGGGCTGCAGGAAACCTGGAGAGGGGCTTGGGACAAGGGATGGAGGGACAGGGCAAGGGGAATGGCTTGAACCTGCCCGAGGGGAGACTGAGCTGAGCTCTTAGGCAGAAGCTCTTCCCTGTGAGGGTGCTGAGGCGCTGGCACAGGGTGCCCAGAGAAGCTGTGGCTGCCCCATCCCTGGCAGTGCTCAAGGCCAGGTTGGACACAGGGGCTTGGAGCAAGCTGCTCCAGTGGAAGGGGTCCCTGCCTGTGGCAGGGGTTGGAGCTGGAGGAGCTTTAAGGTCCCTTCCAATACAAACCAGCGTGGGATTTCAGCCTAGCTACTGAGCTCTAACTCATTAAGAACTGGCATCTTATTGCTTCAAACCATTTGCCTACCCTTTTACCAGAAAGAAACTGTTCATTTGAAGCAGCTTTGTGGGGGTTATTTATTAACTGCAGAGGTTGGGAGCTATGTCTGTGACAATAACTGGATCCTCACTGTAGCAAGCAGCTCAGCAGGTAGGTGCAGACATCCTTGGCCAGGGCTGTGCTGAACCCACACTCTAACTCTTTGGGTTTGACCTCTCAACTCCATAAAGCAAATGGGAGACACAGAGTCCCAATTTTCCTCTCCAAAACTACCTTCTGACAAGAGCTCAAACCCAGAGCAATTTCTTTTGATGATTTGGACTTGCCACCAGTGCCAAGTGCTGTGGCAGGTGAATAAGCAGCAATTACTTGTGAGGTTTAGTGACAGCTAACACAGGAGTTGCTGAGCCTGACATAGGGATGAGTAGCCCTCCTTAGTGTGCACCCAAACAAAACCAGTACTGGAAGCACGCAGTAGTGGCATACATCCCTGGGCACTATCTGCATAGTTCAAAGCAGAGCTTAAATTCACTAACCAGGTGGTTGGGTTGGCTTGTAACATCAGTGGTACCCAATGGTGGATAGAAACATCTCTATGCAGGGTGCAGCCACCAGTGTCATCCCTCTCCTTAAACTACAAAGGGGAAGAGGCAACACACACCAACTTGCTGCCAGCACATCTCTTCCTTCCCTACTCCCATGGCCTCTTTTCTGCTTGGGGCAGGAGTCTTGATACTTTACCTTAGGAGAATAAAAGAAGGGAATTCTGCCTACAAATAGGATTTTGCTTTGCCACCATCACACTTCACTCCAAGTGGGTAATGTGGCCAACAGGAGATAAGTATGAACAAACCATCCCCTGCTCTGAAGAGCCCCAGAACAGAAGCTGGGGACAAGCTAAATCACAGATGGCACCCACAGTTTTAAAGGCTGAATACATCCACTGGCAGACACTGGTTGCTCAGTCTCAAACACACCAACACACACCTTTTGCTAGGGCTCTGTTTTGGAGGAGCTGACTACTCAGTCAGGCTCAAGCTATGCTTGGTCAAGAGGAAGGACAGGAGACTGTCAGTGACTCACCACTGCCCAAGGCTGAACTTCAGATCACTGCTCCTTGATCTTCAGCTCCTATGGACTACAGGAGCACATCTTTCACCTGGATCAACCCTGGTTTTATAAGTGCATCTCTGCTCAGCCACCCAGTGATGCGGAGTGTGTCCTGGCTGTGGGAGGTGACACTGGATCCAGTACAAAGCTTGCCAATATCAGCTTCAACTGCTGAAGTTCACACTTGGTCAGTGCTGTCTCATGTGCCTGGAGCACAAGTGTGATGGGGAACGGCTGAGGGACCTGGGGGGTTCAGTCTGGAGAAGAGAAGGCTCAGGGGGGACCTGATGGCTGCCTACAACTGCCTGACAGGAGGATGGAGCCAGGAGGGGCTGGGCTCTGCTCCCAAGGAACAAGGGATGGGACAAGAGGAACCGGCCTCAAGCTGCACCAGGGCAGGTTTAGATGGAGCTGAGGAACAATTCCTGCCCCAGAGGGTGCTCAGGCA